AATACATTACAGGCTATATGATGTATGTATATTACAAAACGGCAATTTTTCTAGTTCGGATGGATGTTGAAAACACAATAATAAAAGCTATAACTTAATTATAAATTATAGATACCTAGCATTAAATCCTAGCGCCATTAAAAACAATTTATATCAATAACATCCTATATTTTAATCATTTAATATATTTACTTCGTTAAAGTAAAGAGTTTGTAGCTTAAACATGATTACGCCAAACCTTTTTATGTGGACTCTATAACATAGATCACATATAGATCTATTCCATATAATGATTTCGTAATTAACCTATTATATTAGAGTCATTACGCAAAGGAAAGTAACAAACTAAAGGGCAAAAACATCCGTACTCTTATTGGTAAACAACATTTGACATCGATAAAATTTAATTGAATCCCAAGAAAAATCGTTTAGGTTGGTCAAGCGATATATCGTATTCTATTATATGCATCAGAGAGAACCTATGAACCATTTCCACTTTGGTAATCTCCAAAATGAACTGATGGCTAAAAATGAAACGAACTAGAAAACAATCATGTTTCCGAATGGAGCATATGGATGGAATGAAAGCCGGGCTAAAAAATGGTATGTCGAAACATTGAGAGGTCTGAGAATGGAGGGTGAAGAGGGTGATTAGGCCTAGGACTAAACCTAGAACAGCGCATGTGTAGGCCTGTAGCGAACAGCTGCTAGAGAAATAGTTGTGAAAGAAAACATAGTGAGGCACATTCAAAAATATCCGACGGGGCATTAAGTTCACTATAGTTGTTTGATAACCTTACTTGGTTGATTTTTACGAAGTATTGAAAAGTTTAGGCCCTATTGTTGAAGCTGTTTCAGGTACTTTTTGTGGGAATAAATTATTTATTTGAAAGAATAGTTTTAAAGACATTACGTTAATGATCAAGTTTAGCCACCTTTTGTACTTTATTTTAGGTTTTCTTTTAAATGGGTCTTCGTCGAGTTTAAATAAATAGATAAATATAGGCTAACTTAGAAGTTTATTATTTTTTTAGATCGTACAGTAATTATCATTAAAACTAAGGTAGGCTACACATTTACTTTAAAAAGTTGCAAGGCTTTTCGTTAACATCAAAGTAATGGTTATACATAAAGGTGTGAATAAAGGAATTTTAATAACTAAGTACCGGTAACCAATATTGATTTAAGGAGGGTTTAGATCAAACTGAATTTTCAATTGATTCATATTTGTAATAAAAAATACACAAGTGATTTAATTATTTTGAAATTGTTGTCCGATTAACCAACAACTTTATATAAATTAATTTTAGTTTTGTAACATAAATTTGATACATATTTGCTTATTGGTTTTATATACAACTATATAGCGGCTTAATATTGTTACAGCAAAAAGAAATTTAAGTTTAAATTAGGGTACCGTAGGTAAGTTAATCTCTGAATGATAAAAAGTAGACATATTATTGATAATACAATAAATATTTTTTATTCCCTTGGAATAGCTAAAAACAGTGAGGCAATCTTGCAATCTTTGTAAAAGAATTTGTTTATTAATGTAGAATACCTCTCAAAAGTATTAATTATTAAGGGCTGGTTAATTTTAAAATTTTAGCCATAAGTTAAAAATAATATTATACTTCACATTCCATTGAAAATCGTCAATATCAACTGTACATACCCAAAGATGGATTAGTCAACAATTACAAATTTAAGGATGCTTTTAAAATCTTATTTTACAAAAACTGGAAAAATTTCTGTTTTTAATGTACCTTAAAAAATACAATATGTTAAGGATAATGCTTATTGTAAGGAGAAATAATAAAAACTAGAATTATAGTTTGGAAAAGTAGGCCTAAGCAAATTGTCGGCCTATTTACAAATTGTACAAACATTTAAAATGTAATAGACTACTGTATAGGTCTTAAGTGCCAAGATTTCTGTCTATCAGTCTGTTTGTAATTAAAAAACTATATGACCGTATATCTTGGGCATTTTTCAAGATTTCAAGGAATTTCAAAATGGTATAAATGTAGGACTAGGTAGGGCCTACCATAAGTTGCTGCTTTTAAGTACAGGTCCTATTAAATTGCATAACCGAATGTAGAAAAAACTGATAGCTTGGTTGTTTGTCATTTTATTTTAACAAACAAGGTCTCAGTTGATTTGAATTTAAATTCTCTGTCCTTTTTTATCTTAAAACGAGTTTTTTAATTACTATTTTCATGAAATTTGCCATTTTAAATGGTTGCCATATTGAAATGGCTTGAGATATTGGAACAACATTTTTAAGCTCTTTTTACCTTTTAAACTACACATTCATACCAATTTTGAAATTTATATCTTGAAAAATGCCCAAAATTTAAAATAGTATTTAAAAAACCGCAAACAGACCGACAAACAGAAATCTAGGCATTTTAGACCCATACTCATATATGGCATTTTATGTTTGTCTTAGCCCAAGGAACATGTCCACAAAATATGTCACACAATTTGGAAACCCCCTGTATTATGAGTAAAGCCTGAATGCTAAAATTGAAGTACCAGAATACATACCGGTAACTTAATTTTAATTGCCCAGTTAAGATCTATACTAGAATTACAAATGCCATTTAATGTAGGCTATTACCGAAACAACTTTCCGAAGCTTCTAAAAGAGAAAATTGAATGAAACAACCTTTTATAAAAAAAAAACTTAAACAACACCTTTTACATTAATGATTACCCACAATTATCAAACGGTTATTTTATTTTGGGTGAAAACTGATGATTACCGGTTACCCTACACAAAACTAAGACTTAACACAATAAACTAGATATGCAAGTATTTCCAGGGTAATATTCCAAGAATAATCCAATCTAAATCATATTGGGTACTAACATTTGTCTTTAAAAGTCATCACAAAAACCTTAGAACACGAATGACATTTTAAAAGATATTTTTAGTACATGGAAGTAAGAAAAATGTGTAAAAATTATTGACAATCATGATTTCAGGTAGGTGTGCAATATGAAACCTCTTTTCAGTCAAACTCTTTTTACCAAATCAACTATAGTTTCTTTATCAAAGAAAATGAAGAACACATTTTTTAAAAACCCAGTACCGTACCTTACTGGTAAGGGCCTAGTATTATAATCCATGCCGATTGTACACCAAACTTTCACCGCTAGTGTAGTTATATTTGTCTATGGTCTTATGCAGAGAGTGATTTTAATTGGGCCTATTTTTGAACTTATTTCCATTTTGTAAAATGAGTCCATTCTTTCGCATTTGGGGCAAAAACGCCCAAAGTCTTTCTGACTAGTTCTTTCATTCCTAAATTACAGGACCCAATCCAACGCAGAAAAGCTACCGGTACATCCTTAGGTACGTAATGAAAACCACCTTTGAATTATCACTTCACAACATTCTGAACACCTTTTGTGATTTATGTAATAATATTTATTCAATGTTTTACAGGTTATTGCAGTCTCAGCGTAGGTGTTTGAAGATTTTACTCATTTCAGAGTTAAATTTCAATAAAAACCCATTCAACTCTTCCTCTAAGAACGATATTTACTAATAAGCAAAACTTAATACTGTGTGTATGAAAATAATAAAAGTTTGATTCCCTATGTGACCTATAGGCCTATAAAACTGCTACTACTTTAACTCAAGCAAAATACTCGCTATGAGGTGATACTGTAAGCATACAACTAAGATCTCAGCATTAGGTATGCTAAAATTATAATGGTTCCCACATACCAATTTTATTGCATAATATACGTGGGAACACATTACATCTTACAATATTAAAACTTAACTACATCCCTACCATATAATGTAAAACAAAATAGATCAAAAACAATGCAGTTAATTGTTGGAGATTAGTTATAAAAACACAGTTAAGTTATAGAAGATACATTTAATGGCTTGGGTTACATAGGCAAGAAGCAATGCATTTTTTCACTTACCGTCATTTATATTTCTGGATTATGATGCGTTTTTCAAACACTCTTGAATTTTTTAAGTTAAAAAGCTCAAAGAGAAGAGATAGAAATAAATAGTTTGAGGTCAAATGTGTAACAGTATAAAATAAAAGAAACCCTCCAAGACCCCCCGCAACGCAAGAGTCCCGATTTTCTCGATTACACTTAAAAATTAGTATATCCTATCATAATAAGTTTACCCAACTTAACGTACGGTAACAAAATGTTCAAAGAATTCTATAACTCGTTACAAACTTATCCTACGGTTTCTTAACCCTGTTATCTTATTTTGTACCCTAACCAGTTTTCAATTCAAAGCTATACTAAGAGCTGCTGTCAATGTCAATGCTAGTAATTTGAAAGCATGTTTAGTCGTCATAAGAGTTTAATTTTAATGATTTTACAAACTCATGTAAGTTAGGTTTTAACTCAAATTGAATAGCCTACTTTAATACTTTTAATTTAAATTTAATAAGTTACGGTAAGTAAGTTAAACAACTAAACGTCAGTTAGGTACCTTTTAAAAATCTAGTGGGTAAGTTAAGGTGTAGCCCTATTCAATCGTAAATTTTAAAATACTGTACGTCTCAGGTAGCCTAGTGTAGAGAATACACTGTCCAATTCCGAAGCTACTGTGGTCACACTTACTTAAGCCAAATGACTGAAAAGTAAAGAAGGGCCTACTACAAGGGATGGCAGATTATTCATAGGGATAAAGCTTAAGTTTAGTTTGACTTAATTATTTGGAAACTATGGGAATAAGTTAGCCTAAGCTTAAGATAACTTTTTTGCATATATTTATTTATGACCAAAACAATATAATGTATGTAAAGGAGGTTGGGTAAACTTATTACTTAAGTTATTTTTCTGTCTCCCTGTTTATTAAGTTAGCGCAGCATAAGTCTAGTTGTTGTACTACGTTTAATAACTTACTATGAGTACATAAGTGAGGGAAGCTTGCATTAAAAGTTAATAATTACTAAACACGCTGGGAATAAGTTTAGTACATAAGTAATATATTTTCATTAATTACTTACCAAATTAGCTTGCACGGTGAAGGTGTGATGTTATAAATTCTCTCTCCTAGTTCTTTGTGTTCCAATTCCAATGAACAAAGAGCTTGGAACTCAAATATAAAATAAACATAACGAGATTCTGAGGAATCAAATTCTCTCAGAATTACACTCGCACTCAAACACAGTACCACTAAGGTATTTTTGTTTTTAAATCCTCTTTAAAATGTACACACACACCACTAACATTACACAAAGTCACTAGAATAAAACATGGTAAAATCTATACATTTAAGTAAAAGACAGTTTAAAAACAAAACCATGTTTATTTACTTCGAACTGATTTGTCAAATGCATGGAGACTTTAACAGGGCAAGCGATGCGGTTATTGTATCTATTAGGCTATCTTCTTAATTGCATCGATGTTCTTCCCGTCAATATACGACTAAGAACAACTCCGTGAAGAATAAAATCACAAATAAAACATACCGTGCACTTCCTCAATAGTGGTTTAAGAAGGTTTTTGTCATAAAGCCTGGGAAAAGACAGGAGAAGAGCCGGACTGTACAGTAAACACAATGGTGGAGCCCGGATCCTGGGCCAGATGCAACAACAGCGATCCTCTCGAACACGAATCACTGACGAAACAAGAATATACGTTCCCAGCGGATTCACTAGCACTCAAAACGCACTAAAATACGTACAGTTTCACACATTCGATTCAGAAATTAATTAAAACTGCGAATGTTAAGACGGAGTTAGCAATATCGCCATGTTTGTAAGGAGAGACTGACAGAGGGCACTGACGGTGCGGCGGCGGCGAGCGGAGCGAGTTCCCCCCACCACAGTATGTTGTGTTGGCGAGTCCCTAGGTGTCGCTAGCGAACACGGGTGCGGAATGCAGCGGCACTACAACGCTAGGATGCACTGCTGTCCGCTGTCTACCGCGACCTGCGACGCGCAACTCGTTCTCTGCCGCCTGCCTCCCACGACAAATGCCCCCGTCCCCTGCTCGTGCCTCCTCGCCCCCACAATTAAAAAAATGCTTAATAATATACATGCAGTATATGTGGTAAAGTTAATAACACCATTTTAATTTACTCAAAGTTAAAAGGGCTCTGCTTATCCTTTAGTTCAGATAATGTAAGGAGGCATGGACCGAATCAAGCTTCAAAGTTGTATTTTTTGTTCAAAGTTAACATAAAAACAGTTGTATTTTAAATTCCGAAAATATCACATTTTAAAGAATAATGGTTGTTATTGCATATTTGAGTATTGCTAAAACCGTTCAAACATTCGCAACACCAAAAAATTCAGTAGGTTCTATATTATATATTATATTGTTAGAAACATAAAGTAGAAACAGATTACTTACTTTTTCTAATTTTCTCAATTATAATATTTACCAAGCCTAATTAAGATAAACCCATTTTTCAAATAACAAACCAAATTCTGCATAAAATGGTATTATTTTGCACGTGTTAATAATTTTATAAATATAGGTGGCTTTTTATTAGCCAGGGCCATTTATTAAAAGTCCAATGATCAGGTGCCTTAAATAGGTCACAATCGAACATTGTAAATTATAGTGCGGGTTTATTTTTGTATAATTTTCATTTATATAGCACAGAGGAGATAAACGAGGTAATCTAAGTTTATATATCAAATGTGGGGTATATAACATCCCACCATCTCCTCGTCATTTATTTATTTTAAATTATACGCTGCAAACACACATTTGGAATATAGGGGTTTGCAATGCATAATTTACAAATTAAATCTTTTTCATTTCAATGCTTAGAAATATGCCTAACTATGTTTGATCAAGAACGTAATTTTTTATCAGGTAATGCTTGACCGGTAAAATGCATTACTGTGCATCAAAATACAAAATCACAAAGGAGAAAATTCTTCTATAGATTCTAATTTGTCGCCTTCAACTAGCGAATACTTTGTGCGTTAACAAGTGAGCTGGGATTCCCATACATGAAATGAAGGCAGTGTTAACAAATGCTTTCCTAATTCGTTATTATTTTTATTAATAACTAAAATGGGGACAATTAGTCGTATTCATACCTAAATTGAAGGATGGAAAATTGTAGAATGGAGTAAGATGTCTTGTGTAGCTGTTAATAGGAACAGGAGTTAATGCAGAATAATACAAAGACAGTTTGACATTGTTATAATTGAAAATCAATATTATTTATTTAGCCAAATCAGTTTTACAATATTTAAATCAAAAAAATATTTTTTTTTATATATTTTTACAATAAAACACGTTTCTTACACACATCATGCTGTTTTTATAATCTATAGGTTTTGGTTCTTTTACGACTATTTCTAAGATTTTTATAAAAGGAATTTTGTATACGAATTTAATTTTCGGACTGAATTGAGACAATATTTTGCAAACTACAGCATTCCAATACTCACAAACCTGTGTAGTTTGTAATGCAACAAAATTAGGACTAACACGGTCCTAACAGTTAAAAATATCATAAGATAAAAATTAGAAAATAAACATTTTTTATGTTTGAACTCACTTAATTGTTTGGAGTGAGGTCATAGATACAGTACTTTGCAACAATGTGAACAAATATTTACACTTAACGGCTCACATTCCCATTCCGAAACGACCAATAAACCTTTTAGGTCCAGCAGAACCTGCACTTCGGCTTCGGCCTCCTTCGTACCAAGCGTGGAAGTGAGACCTTTGCGCTCAACAAGTACACTTATAATACTTGACAAAAACATTATATTTACCTTTTCAAACATTTAAAAGGCTGCTTCCAAACATTTAAATGTATGTTTTACTAAAATTTATAATGTGATTGAAATTTTTTTTCAACCAGTCTTAAAATGGTGTTATTTAATTTGATACAGTGTAGTTTAATGTTTTTTTTACTGTGTAACTTAATTTGCATTGATGCTTAATATGTGTGCTCTATGTATAGTAGTTTACGAAGAAAACATGTTGAATTCAACATATGATGAAAAAATACTGTATTTGGTTATGTGCAGGAAAATAAATACTTAATACATTTGGTACAAAATGTTTGAGCTTATATTTGCCAACGCAAGTTTGTGAAAACTTCTCAAAATAAATAAATGTATATCTAATTATAATTAAAAAGTATCTAGACTGTTAAATAGTTGGATGAATTTTTAAACACAAGCTGAATTTATTCAGCTAAACTCGAAGGGATCAGTTGTATTTTCCCTCAACACTTACTTTAAATAATTCAACCCATCGACACATTGCATTCTTATATTGAATATATCTGAAAGAGGAAGAATGCAAAATATTATAAGTTTCTCTACCTTACAATATACATCAAACTATACTAAATCTGTTATTATTTTAAAACATTAAATATTGTACAAAATGAGACAGGTGATCTATTGTAACGTCAAATTTATTTCTATTGGAGAAAAGAATTCCTTTATCCCTCCAGACATTGCCTAATAGTTTTACCTATACCAAACGTCACATTTTACCATATGCTGCACCTGCGCCCACTAAATGTCACAAAATATCCATCTTATTGTGTCAGTCTACCTTCAAAATATTTGTTCCTCGGATATGAACACTGTTAAAACATACATCCTTTTACATACAACAAAGAAGCATACATCTCTTTACTTAATATCCCCCGCCTCAGCAAACCTGCAGACTAAGCGAATTTCATTAATGGGTACCTAGGTTTGCTGCTACAAGAGGGTAATCAAGTGTGATTTTAGTAAAATATTAACATCTTAGTGTAAAATAAATAAATTTGCCAGGTTTTATTAGAAATAATACATATCCATAAACAAGCAAACTACAACAGTTTACTTATTCTCCAAAAGAATAATATGGGAATTCTAAATTTACATTATTTGCATTTTCTCCGTAACCAATAACCATACAAAAACACTTCAATATACTAATTTATTTTGTAAACTCCATAAAACTGTTTGGAGAGAAATTGGGGAAATTTATGTTTCGAGGGTCAAAAACGAGAAAAATTAATTTTTATCCCATAAAACCCAGCGATGCTCTCTGATCATGCTGGTTCACGAACTCTTTCGAATAAACGTAGGTTTGTACGTTTGTACCATATTTAATCGAAATCGGATAATTTTTGCTCGAGTTATCTTGCAAACGGACGTATAATATATTTATACATGAATTTGAACGGATGGTACTCGAGTTACCGTATCGCTTTCACTGATACACCCACATATATAAAAATTTGAACTAAATTTGTTTTTAGCCTCTGAGGAAATCAAAACGAAAATGCAAATCAGTCCCGGGTCCAGGTCTTACAACGAGACCTTTAATGGTAATTCTCTAAAAACTGTTTTATTGAAATGATTTTACCTCTAAATGTTTTGATTAGAAAAAGATCAGGACAGAATAAATCGAGGTATTTATTTATATTTTATATTAACACTGTACGAGTATCATATTCACAGGATGAGGATGGATATCCAATCATTATTGTTTTTTGTATGTGCCGGGGATTGAACCCGTCCCTACCGCACGTAGGTCCGAGACACTAAACCACATTCACTAATTAAACTCGATTTTTGATGTTTTAGACAACTGATATCGCTATAGTTGCAAATTTATTGTACAAGGTAAAATAATAAGTTATTGCAAAGAAATTATACATAGTAAAATCTTTTTTAATTTTATTAATCGAAAACATGTTACATATTTAAACATTCCTGAATAGAATGAATTTGTTCAGTTTTTTCGGAAGACCTATGTTTGACGTAAACCAAACGCGATACCTTATTCTTTCACTGTGTGATGTTAATGTTTCTTACAAAATATGTCACAAAACAGCGAAAAAAAAGACTCGCGATTACGTCAAACATAGATCTTCGGCTAAAACTGAACAAATTAATTCTATTCAGAAATGTCTTATATGTTTTCGATATGGGTTTGAAATTACAGATATTGTATTTTCTATCCTTTTTGTCATTACTGATTGTTTTACCGTGTATGAATTGGAAGACCGACATCAGTTGTATGCACATCGAAAATCAAATCTAGTGAATGTGTAGTTGTAAAGAGTTCGCCTGTGTAATTGTCTGCAAGAAACAAAACAGGCATACATTTTAGAATAGTAAAAAGAGTTTTACATGCTTGAAATATTATCTCTATAATATTTCAACAGACCAGCAAATAAAAAGGTAATGGTGGAGTGTATGAGCGCATCGGCACAGACAATGGAATAAACATTAAAGTATTATATTGTCTGTGGCATCGGCTTCTGCCAGTCGGGAGTGAGTGGGGTGAGCTAGACCGAAAACACAACAGCGCCCGCAGTGCCACCATAGAGCACATAGGTGGGTAGGTGTATAAATAGAGAGGCTACCACCAACCACCACTCCACTCTGCTCAGTGCTCACTGCTCAGTCAGTAATCCTCCTAGGTGCTCAGTATCGCCAGTTCCGTGTTCCGTCATATTGGATCATTTTGGATTGGTCAAGAAGCTCGAACTGGATCACTGCAGTGATCAACATTTAATTGAACACTCACTGAACATAATCACCGTGATTTAAGTGCATTTAGAGTGCAGAACGTTCTCGCCGTGGTGATTTAAGGGCCTTAGAGTGCAGATAAATTTTTCAAATTTTGCACAGTTGTAAGTTTGTGTCCTTCTTCCACGAACAGTACTATTTTAATTGTGCTGAATTATTTACTTTTTAATTATATAATAACGATAATTAATGTGATGTTTTTATAATTGTATATTTTGACATCAACAAGTTTTACTCTGTGGCGAGAAATATTTTTTTTAGTCAGGTGAGTTTTTTTTAAGAGGTTGGCGGCCTCTTTTCACCTTGCATTTGCCCGTCCACATATACTACAGATCTGTGCGTGGAACGTATCCAGCAAAGCAAGGGGTGAGCCGGTACAGTAC